ACCTTGAAGTGTAAACTTGTTTAATAAACCATATCTTTCATTTTCGATTTTTAATTCACGTAGTCCGGGAACTTTCCGGACAAACTGTGTATGTACGTTTTACGCAAATGAGATTTGCGCGGCAGCTTTGGAAGGTAATCCAACATCGTGCGAGTTCGAAACTACCTGTAGCATTTTGCAAGACGCGAACGTTCCGAAGAAAAATGTTCAATACTTGTCTATAAGTAGTACATATGTGTGTTGGTTTTCTCTTTTCTTTGTTTTCTCTTTCCCTTTCTTTTATTCGCGCTTTCTCTCTCTCTTTCTTTCTTAGGTAGGAAATAACGCTGCATCGAAGAGTATAACTCGAGTAAAGAAATGTGTATGTATACATGTATGTGTGTATGTGTGTGTGTTTTGTCGTCTACTCTAGTAATTAAAAATCTTATGTCGCTCGTAGCACGGCTACGAACGTGTTTCTCACAACCTTATCACAACCTTATTATAGAGTGCCCTGGTGACGTGGTCGAACTCGGATTGCACCAGTGTGTCCGACCTAATTTTTTGTTCTCACTCTACTAATTCTTTGATCTGTCGTTTTTTTTTTCTTTGTTTGGCGCGGCACTCGAGAAGATAGCGGCTCTGCGCCGTCTGTTCCCTCGTTTTGTTTTTTTTAAAGATAATATACTTTAAGTTGTATTTTTATGGTCATACGAATAGATTTACCTCGCGCATGTTTATACGGCGTAAGATTACATATGTACGTGTATGTGTAAATGTGTGATCAAGGTTACACAGGGGTGTGTATCTCGAAAACCACTTGCGTGTGCATATTTCATTGACAAGAGCACGTAAAAGAGGAATGTTCAATCGAGAGACTTTACTCTCGAAAGCGCAACTCGAAGTGGCACAATTGAAAACACTACTAATATACAAAATGACTTGAGATGGCGAAGTGGATGTTCTCACAAACACAAAATCTGACACACTTTATGTGCACACAGCACCGTGTGCATGTATTTTCCAAGTGCGGTATCGATTAATTTTGCAAACAAAGCGAAAATATATGTTTCGCCATACTCGATGAAATATTAGCGCGAAAGTTCGAGCTTCAACAATGAGTAACAAAATCTTATTCTATTATTTACAACTTCAGACATACTTTGGGTTAGTGTAAAACAACTAAAATTACGATGCAGCTCTCCTTCAACTTTGGATATTAAGGAAAAGTTGCGCGCGAGAAACAATGGTTTTCCATTTCTCTCTGGTGGAGAGAATTTCTAGGAGAAACCTCTTAAAGTCGGGAGTCGTCATTAAAATAAATAGCGATGATTTCGAGAAACACTCACCCCGCGTCCCGCTCCGAAAAAGAGAAGTAACATGGCGGGTTGTAATCGCGTGTCAACGTGAATACACTTGGAAGGCGAGTTTTTGTTTTTAAGTGTGTGTGTGTGTGTGTGTGTGTGTGTGTGAGACTTTTTATACAGTGCGCACGGTCGCGACGCGACAAGAACCGCAGAAATTTTGTTGTTGTTTGTGTCGCGCCGAAAACAACGACCGCGTCCGAGTGGTGGTTGACGAACGACACTTGTTACGCTTTTTTCTTACACACTACGTGTTCCGCGATTGAAAGATTCTCTCTCTCTCTCTCATAAAGTAATAATTTAATTATTCACAACCTGTAATACTTGTGATTGTTGATGATCGCGGGTGGACGCATCCACCGGGATCGTATCTAAAAATCGTGCGTACGTACTTCCCGCTGTCGTTGGTACAAGAAAAGTACGTTCTCTTATTTTTCCTCCCACATCCCCCGTTTTTCCCGGACTGACAGTTACGCTTCCACGTAAACAATCCGCGGAAATGGTTCATGTGTTATCCTTGGCGAGCTCATACGAAAACCGAATGTCGAGAGTGTCGCGCGAGGAAGAGAAGAAACGACGGGCTTCTCGGCTTTTTCGCGAACCTCCCCGGTTACGAGCAATCGTAATTGTTTTTTCTTTTGCGCGTGCTCTCGAGAGTTGGAGTGTTAACAACTACTTTTTTTGTTTTTGTAACAGTTAAATTAATATTAATCGTGAACAAAAGGTCGCGCAAAATTTATCTGAGAATAGCGAAATAATATTCAGAGATAATAGTTCGGCAGCTAAAATCGGCGGCGGCGTGATTTCTCCCGCGGAAAGTTTCTCCTTCAACTTTCACCCTTGAAAGCTCTTTAGGGGCTGGATTAGCGTCTCTCGGTCTGGCTGCCAATCTTGATTGTGGGATGCGCGGCGTGTGCATCTTCCCCGGACGAGGAATAGACGCATCCGTTTTCCCTACATCTTCTTTGGACTCTCTGTTGATAAGCTTCCGGAATAGTTCCGACGATCGCGCGAGTCTCGCGCTTTTATGACTGTTTTATAGTCACAGGAGCAAGCGTCGTTGTGATTCCCAGTTGAGAAAAATTTGCATAATATATCCACGACGGATTCAAGTTATACAAAAAGAATGTTAAAACTTTAAGATATCACTCGGTTCTGAACAAAGAAATTTTTTTTTTTTTGAACCAAATAAACTTTTACTTTTGATTGCATTATTCATCTGAAGCTTATTTTTCTTTTCTCCGACATTAAGTAATTTTTTCCGTTGTGAATTTCTCGATGAGAAATTCACGTCCACGTTTTTTTTTGTCATTTCTCTCGTTTCGAACAAACTGTAACTGCTCCCATTTAATAAGATCGATATCTTAATTAAAGCCGTAAAGTCAAAAATAAAGTAGGTATCGAAGATCCGAGAGAATTTTGTACTGTCAGTAAGTTGTAAGTAGTCGTAAAACGATAATACTCTTGCCAATTTGTGAGATTTGGTAAACTTACTTGCTCCGCATTTTCGCTCTGTGACGCTTCGTCATTTCTCATTAACTCGTCGTCGTCGTCGTCGTCGTCGTCGTCGTCGTCGTCGTCGTCGTCGCCTTTGTGCGTTAAGGTTTCACCGCGCAACGTAACGAACTGCGAACAAGCGATCGAGATAAGCAAGGTGTTAAATTTCCGTAATTGCGAACGTAACACGGAGCAACGCGCTTCTCCCTGGACGAAGAACTTATTTAACAACTCCCATTGGTTAGCAGACGGAAATCCCGTACAAGTCACGACGGCCATTTAAACGATCGCCGCTCACCAAAGTTCCGCTTCGCTTTGCTTTGCTTCGCTCCACTATCGACAAATTTGCCGGGAGATCCTCTGCGAACCAAATCCCTATAGAGCCAAGCACGGCTTCCGAGAGCTCAGCGGATTCGCAACAACCGCCTGAACGCTCGTCTATAATCAAGATTGAAGATGGTGTAGATGAGGGGATTGAGTGCGCTGTTGACGTAACCGAGCCACGTGATGAAATATACTATCCTCTCCGACGGGCAGCACGCCGGGCAGAACGGCACGATGACATACATGAGGAAGAACGGCAGCCAGCAGACGACAAATACGCCCATAATGACACCCAGGGTCCTCGCCGCGCGCCTCTCTTTGGACAATGAGATTCTCTGTCGCTCCTCGATAAATTGATAAACGGTCGTGGAGGTGCCAGCGACAGCGGGACCACCTGCGCGGTCTCCGGTACGTCTCGTGGACGCGGTGTTACCCGTTATCGTTACCTCGGTCGGCTCGTCGTCGATCAGCGACGGTTTTGGCTGCAGACGCGGCGTCGAGCGCTCGTTGTGATTCGTCTCCGAGCTGACCGACTCTTCGGCGTCGTCGGTCTCGCGGTGCCTGGTCGACTGTACCGGACCCAGTCTGCTCTGCCGGGCTCGTTCCCGCAGTCTTCTGCGCGTAGCCAGGAAGATTTCCAGATATACCAGACTCATCAGCAGCAACGGTATAAAGAACGAGCCCAGTGACGAATATATGACGTAGCCCTGACGTCTGGTGAGCTGGCAGGGCGTGCCCGGGTTTAATTCCTCCGGCCAGTCGTTCCAGCCGGCCAATGGTGGCGAACTGATCGCGCCCGAGAGTATCCACACTCCGGCGATCGTGGCCAGGACGCGCTTCAGGGTGCGCTTTTGTGCGTAGTTAATCGGATCGGTGATCGCCCAGTAGCGGTCCAGCGCGATCGCGCAGAGATTCAGAATGCTGGCAGTACAGCAGAGCACGTCGCACGTCAGCCACAGCTTGCACAGGTGGATACCGAACACCCACTTGCCCAGCACCAGATAGACCACGTTGAACGGCATCACGAGGATCGCCACCGCGAGATCGGCCACCGCCAACGAAACGATGAAGAAGTTTTGTACGATCCGGAGCGGCCGATACGTGAACACACTGAGGATCACTAACACATTTCCGAACACGGTCGCAAGGACGAGAAAGCCCAGCGTCAACGAAGCCGCAACTGCTTCCCACGTTGGCAGATTCGATCCCGTCTCCTCTTCCGGGACGTTACAGCCACTCACCTCGTAGTCTTCCGACATCGTTCCGCCGGACTCGCCGCTTGAGTTCATATCGTTGTCCTCTGGAAGCAAAGGTTTTTCTTTTACCACTCCGATATCTCATACGAGAGATCCTGTCCTTTTCTTTTTATATATCTTCAGTCATATATACCTATATCTATAACTAAAATAGAGTCCCGCGGCGCTCTAAACTTAATCGTAGATTTTTCAATACGCAAAGATCAATCAAGCTTCGAGAACGTATAGGTATGCGTTTATATACAAGTCTGTGTGTGTGTGTGAAATGACACCCACATTTCGAACTTCTTCTTCAAGTAATACGATCGCTACGAGACGTTGAAATATCGTCTCGAAAATGAAAATTAATTTAATACAAACTTGATTTTGTTCGTTTCGTCGAAAATTTCTTCTCCATGGTCGCGGAAATGTATTCGCCAATCCAATTCGCTTATTTCAGTCAAACTTTTCGCCATGTCAATCTAGCGATAATATTGACCCAAGAGTTAGATTTAGCTTGGATCTTATCGAATACGGGAACTGAAGACGCGCGCGCGCGCGCGCGTGTGTGTGTGTATGTACGTATGTGAAAGCGATTCAAGAGTTTCCGCGGTTTCGCCGTCATTGAACTACTTGACTGCGGTATACGCAAGTCTCGGAGAACTGATCGGCAATCATTAGAAGCAAATGTGATCGCGAATTAACATATTCGTTATTAAAACGTGTCATATATATAGATACATATAGAGAAACAGATGTATAGAAATATATGACTTTTTAGATATTTCTATTTTTGTTTAATTTAAAAAGCGCATTTAATTTTTTAACGGGTTTTATATGTTTATAAAACAAAAATTTACAGTTTCAAACAAATCATCTACGCTGCTCTTTAATAGAAAATAATAATTATTTTGTATAGCGAAACGATTCAATAAAATAATTGCAATTTGCATGTTTTTAAATTGCATTTGTATGTTTATGAAAATCAGGTGTCCTGATACACACTGGTCGGAAAGCGATAAATAAAATTATTAACGATAATGAATCGCAGCGTCGCATCGCTTTTTCCCGTTATTATAAATCATCGGGGTTGCAAATTGCGACCAGCAAAGCACGTTATATATTCGGCTGTACACGATGTTATTTTCTGCACGAGAACCATTCGGAAAGGTTTCAGAACGCAGAAAGAAACGTTTCTATTTTCGTGCCGCGGCAGCGATACTTTCTCTCGGCAAAGCGTCGGGCTTTGTCACACTATCCTCGGTGGTGGAAAAACGTGGTGCTGTGTGTCGTTGCCGATAAAAATATAGGGGATTTTAACGATACGCGCGTAGATTTTCTCGCGCGCGAGAAGAAAACGGTCAAGCGCCACCGGAGTGAAGTATATACGATTTCCTGTACTTTTGCACGCTCTCGAAAATCGTTAAGAACGCTTTCTCGATATCGCGAAGAAACCCTCGGCGTCCGTCGCACAGCTAAAGCCAAGTTCTTTTCGTTTTGAGATAGTGATCGTGACGCGCGCGGCGGGAAACGGGTCGCACGGAATAACGTTTTTCCCTCACGTTCTCTCACTTCCGCGCAATTACAACTTGGAAATCCAGGAAAACATCGCTTCCCCTAGTAACTCCGTTCTGTTTGCCGCTCGTCGTGTCAAAACCGTCGGGTACTTCATCATCCTCGTATGTACTCGGTCTCTCTCTCCCTCTCTATCTCTCTTCTGTTCTCTCTCTTCCATTCCCTCTATCCATCTCTCTCTTCTTTCTCTTAGCTTCTCTACTAATTTCAAGCGCCAGCAAACTGTCAAACTTCATTATTACACGTATTCGCGTACAAGGCAAATATTGATTTACTATTCCAAAAAGAGACGCGAAGTATTACAACGATAATGGAAAGGAGTAACTTTCCGGAGGTTTAGGTCTTTTAACAGCCGCGCCGACGGATCGGTGAACACCGTGTGCGGAATGCGAGATGAAGAAAAAAATTCATTTCATGGCGAAATGTTAATCGTCGGAAAAATACCCATGATTGAAAGCATGGCGAAATTGCGCTGACGCTTGCGGAAATCAGTCAGCGAAATATTCTCCCGGTTTTCGTGATAGCTGTAGAGAGAGAGAGAGAGAGAAAGAGAGAGAGAGAGAGAGAGAGAGAGAAAGAGAGCCGTATTTGATTAAAGCAATCACGGAACTTTCATAACACGTAATATCGTTTGAGATCGACTTTGCTTATTTCATTCAGATGCCGGTCGTATCTCATAAAAGAGAAGCGCATTCCGATAGAATATTCATAATAAAAAACGAACACCACAACATCTACCCTCTGAATAGATAATATTATTTTTCTTATTTTGTCAGTGTACACACGTTCGCTGATTATACACCGAAATTCAAAAGCGCGAAGTTATTAATAACGCCAGTGAATTGCGGTTAACACGATACACATACGTGGTACGTAACACACAGTTTGCCGCGCGTATTCAAGTCGTTTCGCACACGAATTCGCGCATGCAACACGCGCTTATTTCCAAGAAATCTCCGCGTAACATTGAAACTTTGAAATAATTAGCGCGCAAAACTTATTATTAATCACGCGACAAGGACGTCTCCGGTCGAGATGCGCGACGAGAGTTTATTGAGAGAAGACTTTGGAGATAAAAAAATTACGAATAAGTACTGCCGTTCTGAAAGAAGGTATCTCTTCGAGTTTCTACGTAATTACGCGCACCGCATATCAACGAACATTAGCGCGCTTTACAAACGAGTTTTCTCAAAAAAGAAAAAAAAAACACACGAAGAAACAAAATTAAACCTTATTGCGTCCCGTCAACGTCGCGCACGAAACACATAACAAGCAGTCCCGAACAATTCGATTATAACTCTATCACACTCCAACGAAGTTCGCACCTTCAACTCAAATTATAACTCGAACATGCGGAAGATCGTTCGCTTAAAAACCGCCACGCGCGCTGCTCATGGTGTCGAAATTTTATCTCCTAAAATGTAATTCACGTGAGCACGCTTTACAACATTTTTACGATGAACTCTCTCTCTCTCTCTCTCTTTCTATCTCTTTCTGTCTCGCTTTAAAGGCAGCTCATCGTAGTATCTATCGCGCTAAACATAAATTGCTGTCCTTAAAACTCCGTGAGGCGTGGACTAAACGAGAATGCATATTTTTTGTCAGTAACACGTCACGTGAGATAAATTTCGCGCAATCGATAAATTCTGTTTTACGTGCGGCGACGATACGTTACGTTACGTTACGTGACGCTGGCTACTCCATACACATGTGTATTTATGCGCTTTTGCACACGAATTCCGAACACATCGAAAATTGTTCGCGACAATCTTACATTCTCCCCGATTGGCTTCCCGTCGCATTTTCGAATCAATTACGCGCATTGTTTTGCACACAATGTGCTCTTTCGAGCGAATGGAAATATCACCGAAATCATTTTATTGAGAGACTTTTCATATATATATATATATATATATATTATTTATAAGACGTTCATATTTTCTTAAATAATAGATGTCTACTTTAGAAACTTTCAGGAACGTTATTGATTTATAATTACAATATCAATCATTTGATTTGTGATCGAGACAAGACGTAAGATTTACGGAAATATCACTTTTCAATTCGCTTGATGAATTTATTGGGACTGTTTTGTCATAGAATGTTTCAATTTGCTTAATCTGATATCTAGAATATCTTAATTAAGGCACATTGACTGCGACAACTGCGTAGTTGTTTCCGAGTTTTGATTACAACAGGAAACACCGACGATCAATTCCAATTCCGCAGACTGGTTTTGAATAACATTTCGTGTATTGTTATATTGTTGCATTTGCTGTTTGGTACTATTCTGATAATCACATAGCATAATTTATTGATATGTTCTCTCTATTCATATATGCGTATCTCCTATACATATCTATCGCCATACATATATATATATATATTTTTTATATGTATATCTTTTCAGTAACATAAATTTCATTTAGAAAGAAAGCCTTTTGTTTCGAGAAGCTGGAATAAAGACATCTATTTTCCTGGAACATTCAATGCTGAATGTATAGCTCTGCGTTCTTGATGCTTTCTTTCTACAACAAAGACATAAAACAATAATGTTGTCCATATAAAATCTACTTTTTCCGCATCCCAGCCCATCAATGCAATCGTGCCCGTCTCTCCGCTGGGAATTACGATAGCGCACAGTGACAAACCGGAATTGACGGATTTCGCAAATTTAGCACGAGAGACAATAGTGCGCGGATAACAGTATTAGAATTATTACGTAACGTATTAGCGTGCGTCGTTTACTTCATTAGTAAATCGAACGCTAACTCGTAATGTTTCCAGAGAGCAGACCATTAACTGCGGAATGCCGTACGTCTGTCTCTCAATAGCAATCGATGGGGCGCAATTGGCATGAACGCGAAAGGGCACTTGTCGAATATTTGGAGCACAATCCGACATTAATCACAAACCAGGTCATGGCTTTCATGCCTCTCCTCTTTCTTTGTCTCTCTCTTTCTCTCTCTTTCTCTCTCTCTCTCTCACTCTTTCTCACCCGCTCGCTTTCTTGTCTGAACAATTAAAAATTTCGCTTGCTTCCAATTTGAATTTATAAAAACCCAAAAATTACAGAAAAAAAATATATTTAAAAATATATAAGAACAATATATAAGAACACAATCTTCAGTTATAAAATCTGCAAAACTTTGTTTTGAATTTTGAAAAAAAAATCGTAAAGCAAAACTTTTATTAACGGAATAGTCTTTTATCAGCCATGTCCACGATCATATGCGATGCAACAAAATCACCGTCAATGTTGTATTCAGTATAAACAAAATTATGGCGCTTTGGAAGAAATCCAGGACCAGATGAAAGTTCCCGGAGAAGCACTTAAGGATAATTGGATTTTCTTTAGCTAAAAGAGTCGTGGCCTTAATTCTTTCTCTACGAATTGTCTACGATGTTTTCTCAATTCGAAGATCCTTCGGACGCAATTTGTCATGCGATCTCGCCGAATGATAAAGCACTTACTATCGGTCCAGCGCGGTCTTTCGTGCGAGACCGTCAGAGATGCATCGCTCGTCACATTTTGATCCCCTTGCCGCACTTACGATGATCGACGATCGATCGGCTGACTTCAGCACGAATAGCGGGTCGACATCGGGCCCGACGGATTACACCACCTGCAATAAAATATTCGTATATTCTTAAACATTGCTCTTATTTAATAAAAAGCGCGTCCACAAGTTGAACTCGATCCACAAGATGTGTCACTTATAGTTTTTTGACGTATCAAATTTTTTTTCTCGAAAAAAAAACCAGACCTTTCAACAAATATGCAAAAGCTCATCTTTATTTATGACGCGCGCACATTTTCTATTTTATTGTATCAAACACGGGTTTCTTTATATTACCATTATAATGGAAAATCCTGTGTGTAGCTTTCGTGTATACGTGTGACAAATAAAAATAGAAATCTCACGAACTACTGTAATATTTGCGCGCATTGCTCGCGTGCAATAAAATAGAACGCTTAAATACAACGTAAATGCTACGTCAAAAAGTTTCTTTCCGATTTTTTCTCTCTGTGAACAGAAGAAAGCTTCATCGTATAAGGTAAGAGAAGAAGGAAGAAATTTAATTCGAGACTTAACCCACTTTTGGAAGAATGTATAAGAAGACTTGTCTGTGTATATACACGTAGAATTTGCATTTGCGACAGAGATACTTTGCAATAGTAAACTTAGGATAGTAAACGTGTATCGCAAGTGTACAGACGCGCGCGGCAAATAGCCATGGGCTGATCATATTCACGAGAGAAAAGACGATATTATTTAGCAAATTCTACAGAGAAACACGAAGTGTGCGATAAAATGAATCTCGCAAGTAGTAAAACCGTTCGTTTTTTATGTAAAATGAAGAAAGAGAGAATATTTTACAATCAAAAGTTCAAATGTTTTAAATTATATAAAAAAGTTATATTATAAAAGTTATATTATATAAAAAAGTTATATTATATGCGTAAACAATATTTATGTTCGTTAAACTATGTTTATTCTTGCGCATTTTTTGCTTTCATAAAAGCTCCATTTGTTCATTACATTTTAACATTTATTATATTTCAAATTAGTATTTGCCGGCTTTTTTCCTCTAAAAATTGTTTATTTATTTTTCAGAGTTCCGCAATATAAAAGAGCTGGTAGTAACAATCAAATATACATGTAGTATTTTGTTTTTATGAGACAGATAAAGAAGTTATATATTATCTCGCTTATTTACTACACGTATCTACTACGTAAAAAAAGAAAAAAGATAAGACGCCAACCTTCGGCGTAATTTAATAAAGAAACGTAAGGAAGATTAAAGGGATCACGGAAAAAAAGTTGTGCTATTATGTGGCCAGTAAGAAAAATTTGTTAATCCTATTCTGAATTGTTTGTTTTATTAACAAAATGTTTTGTTGGCAACGCAACAAAATATTTAATCTTTTGTGGACTGACATGGGTCCTTCAGACCCATTCAAAAATTGCGCATTGATGTTTCTAGTAACAATTAGTTTTTTTTAAACGCTTATCTTCGAAACTACTAGAGATGTTTTTAATTTGTTTTTTTTTTATCAACGCAAAAAACAACTTTCTGTTTAAACTGTTTAAACTTTCGATTCAAAAAAGAAAAATTAAAAAATATTGATTTTTACGGAAATGTTTAATTATAAAGTAGATCTCACAGGTCCAGTCTAACTAGTACGCATTTTTAAAAGCCAATCCACAAAGAGTTAACAAATTTTTCTTGCTGACCATGTAGTAATTAATTTTTGTGCTATTTCGACAAAAATTTTTGCCGTGATTACATAAGGTACGTTTTTTGCATTTAAAGAATTTCTACCGCGTTATTAAAAGTAATAGCTCGAAGTCATTACTGTGTGACTTTATCGGAAAGAAGGAGTTGCGGAACAATACAGAGAGATGCTCTTTGTACACAACGTGAGCTTTTCTGTGAATGACAATAATCGTCTTTAGCAGCTAAGGTGTTAAACTGACGTTGCAGCACGTTCTACGTATTCCGTCTGTAGCAAACTTCCACTTTGAAAAATGTTCGATTTTCCGAAAAGAGGACAAACGTCTGCGTGCATGACGACAGAGAAAATAGGAGAGAGAAAGAGAGAGATTTAAATTGCATAACACAGGATGGCACTGTCACTACCAAGTTTCTATCGCGAAATGAAATTTCGACGCTGAAACTTGACAAAGCAGAAATGTACTTATACAAGAGATGTCGAATATTCTTTAAAAAGTATGCGATGATGCATGTACTGCAGTTGAGAGGGACAAAAATGTACGTCCGTGTGTGTGTGTGTGTGTGTGTGTGTGTGTTACAAAAAATATTATTCATTAAGTTTCTAAAACATATGTGTGGGTCAGGAAAACTTTTAAATTTTTAATTGAGGATACTTCCCGTTCTCTTTTCTTGCTGATAAAAGTATAACATCGTCTTTAATGGCAATTGTGTAAAAACACAAAGAGGAAAACAAAATCTACGAAAACATTTATGCGGGAGATAAAACCTGGAAATGTAAAGATAGACAAACTAACAAAAACAAAATAAAATAAAAAACGCAATAAGAAATTGACTTAAATAAAAGGAGATATACAGAAAAATAATAAAATTATTGCAAACAATGCACAAAAAACGAAAGATGCATGGTTTGAATATACGTACACATGTCTGCACTGTTCCCGTAAATTCCTCTCGTAAATTCGTATCCTATTTATTATTCCAGCAGCATCTCGAACTCACTACTCGCCGGACTGGTATATCGATTCCTGGGGGGGGTTCATTTCTCAGTTAAATTTGCTCGTAAATGTACACAAGAGATCGCAGCTCGGCGAATGACCCGGTCGAAATTTATGATCCCGCGAGAACTTGGCGCGAAATAATTGTCTTTGACCGTTTCGAATGGAAAAATGCGAACGGAGAAGCAAATATAAAACCGTAAAATTTCATCACCCTCCGAATATTCGCTGCTGCGCATACATAAATTTATAGACCAACTATCCTATTATATATAATCGGCTTATATATTTTTTTTAACGAAGCGCTTTACTTTGATAAAGAAAAAAACAGCCTGATGAAAAAGTTGCGACTTTCGTCACTTTATTATATTACCCAAACCCGTACTCTTATTACAAGCAAACGCTCGATAAACTTGGTGCGTTTGTTGCTGCCGCACTGTTACGTCATGTCTCTTATGATTTCCTTGTTGAGTAATTTCGCTCTACAACAACACGACAAGATTTGGTTGACTGTATAAACCAAAAGTGCGTATATGTTTGCCCGAGGAAGTTTGCCGTATACACAGATATTATGCATACGTCAGATGTATTTTGCATTTTGCGAAACGAGTTTTGCACACAATAAAAAGAAGAGAATTGGACGCGATATTATCGTGCCGTACATATAAAACTGCGCAACTCCATTGTGTATTTCCCTTACTAGATTTCGTTGATGGATCCTCCTCGCAGGGAAATTGCTGTTCACTCTATCTAAGAAAGCTTATTTCGCTGATCTATCTTCTCCATACAAAGGTTTCAGCATGACACAAGCAGTCGTTTAAGAGAGGTAGATAGGTAGTATATCTCGTAGTTTTCATAAATCTAAATTCTGAACAGATTTCTCTCTTATGGTCGAATTAAGTGTCCGTGCGCGCGCGAGTGCACGTGGAAGAAAGAGAGAAGGAAAGGAAGACATAGACACACGGAGAGAAACACGAGTTTTTCACATACATTCTGTCTTTTTTTCTCTCTCTCTCTCTCTCTCTTGTTTCTCCTTTACGTACAACGCGCGCGGTATCAACAAATTTTATCTTGCGTTGCGGTGTATAAACTCCACTCTTTTTCTGCACGGCGATCTAATTGTAACGAACACTCGCGCAATATTAAAACCATCTTTTGAAAACCGCGGTTCCGCCGACTATACGTTGTGTGCCAAGCGCAATGCTAATTTGCATATTTGCGAGTCGGATATTCTTCCCATTATCATGCTTTGAGTTTTACCGCAAAACACACGAGAGAATAATAACTTTTTCAGGGTTTACTTTTTTTCTTTGTTTTTGTTTTTTACTTTTTTTTTTTAATTCTTCGCGCGCTTAATCGCGCGCTATGCTATTAATTCCGGGGGGACGGCACATCGCGAGTCTCGAGACTTTTGTCGTTTTTCTCTCTCACCGCGACTTTTAACTACCATCGATTCTCGAAACTTGCAAGTTCTCTCGAGAAGCCCGTCCGAAGTTACATAATACATACACACCATCGGGTTTACTTTAAAAACTGTAAGAGCTGGTCTACAGGTTGCGAAAATTTCTTTTAATAACTTTCGTATGACTATTCTATGATACTGCTACGTTGTTTTTTTTCTCTGCATACGACACGATAGTTACCATCCTTAAAAATACCGCTCAACATTATCGCAAAAATTCATATTCATTTACGCGCAAACAAAACTACATCTCGACGTTTCCGATTCTTCCAGTTAATTGCTTGTGTAATTTTGTGTTGCTTCAGCCTCTGTGAATTTAAAAACTGTTTAAGGTGTTTCAGTGTCGCTTGGATTTTTCCGATAATCAGTGCTGTGTGTTTAGAAAACACATCGCGAATAATCGCGCCACAACGATGCGTAGTAATCGAAGTGATGATTGTGATTCTTCCCTCTGTTCCTGTGTGCGATAATTGCAAATGTCGACACAGAATTGTGAAGTCAGTGCTGGGAAGAGATACAAGTACGGAAAGCAATATTGTGTCACGAGAGAACACGTGATAATCTGTAAATACATGTAGTAAATTAATTAATACAAATATTAATTAATATAAATATTAATATAAATATTAATTAATTTACTACATATTAATATAAATACAGGTATATAATTAAGAAATATCCCGTTGAGAGAAACGTGTACGTAATTTCCACATACAATAATATTTGTGACTTCGCTCGCGCTAATTTGGTCGCGCGCTAAAGCACGGATTTTACGAAAATTATCAAGTTAATGTCGTAAAGAGGCGCACGTAGCCATTGGGAATAAAATATTAAATATTTTCGCAATAATACATGACAGTCGTCAAAATAAACTAAATAGTTATCATCGAGTTTATGGATTTTCGATTAAATTCCATATACGGTTTTC